CCCCAAGGTTTTATGAGATAATGATTCCTCAATAAAACATTCACTTTCATCCAAATGTTGGCACAGAAAGGCCTTAGTTGAGGAGATCAAATGTTCTATCTTAAGAGCAGAGTGACACTCAGTTAACTGCAGAGACACTTTGGCCTAACAGACACTGCAAGGTAAAATAAACAAGAGTTGCTGCTTTATGGAAAGTGGTTTCAAAGGCTTGCTGCATGTATGCATGCCTGAGGCTAAAGCATAAAAGGTGCGTGGTGGCCTTTAATTGGAAAGGAAGAAAGAGCCATAAGCTAGGTACATATAAAAGGATCTGTGGGATTCTTCTGGAGCAAGGTGTGGGCTGTGAGGCATCAAGTCTCTTCAACACGGTCATATCTTCCTGAGAGACTGAGCAAGCAGATCAGGTGAGGGGCCTTTGTGTTGCTAGAGCCTGACAAATAATAACTTCTCGAGGATGAAGACTCTCTTGACAGATGAACATTGCTCTCAGCAGAGGAGAYAGCACGGGCGGTGAGAGCAAACAGCTCCTGCTCATGCAGCAAATCAGTGACACTTTAATTAAAACCAGGTACTTCAGTCCACCTCTGCTAGAGGTTGGATGATTATTATTAAAATCAAGATTTCTTTCTGATGTAGAAGAAACCAAGTTCTAATCACTGCCTGACTCCAAAGAGCGACTAGATATTACAGAGAATTAGCAAACACATCAGCCTGTCTTGGTCAGTGCCAGGGCACTTACAGGGCCCACCAACTGCTCCTTCCAAGACTGTTATTTAGCAGAAGCACCTCTGGCTCAGGAGATTCCATTCGTCTCTCTGAGTATGGCCCTTGGGTCCTTAGCAAGTAGCCCTTGCTCAGGAAATTGCCTTGATTTGCTCCATAAAGTAATCAAGGGCCTTCTGTCAGCAATTTAGACTGACCTTTGGAAGCAGTGAGAACATTACAGCTGTACTGGCAATTTTCTAATTTGGRGTGAGGAGCTAGCAAGCAGCTCAGGGGCTTGGTTTGGCCCACATGGCACTTCCTCTCTAGAYCCTAGGAGGGCTAAGCTGGACCCCAGCCTAAAGGGCCTGCAGGAAGCTTTGGGATAGGGAAAGCACATTCCCAAACTGGATCTGCCAAGGTAAGATCAAAGTAAGGCAAGGCAACGGTATAGGATGCACAMTGACAACCAAACAAGCTGCTCCAGGAACAGTGTGAGGAAGATGTCTGTGCTTGCTCTAAGAGGACACAGCATGAGGTGAGAGCAGCCACGGTAAGTGGTAAAACCTGTGCTGAAGTGGTGGCCATCCCCAAGCTGCCAGACTCCTCGCTCAGCAAGTTTAGCCACAGAAACTTAGAGCATCTGCTCTTCCTAAGTTGGTCTCTAGCTTGCCCCAGTCTCAGGTGACATATTTTGCTAAGATTGGTGCTTCAACTTTGGTGGCTACAAGCAGTATTCTTGCTTTAATGTTGAAAGAGGGAATATTATCTCACAGGCACACAAAAAGCCAGGAATCACAACTCCTGACACTGGTCTACTCCAGGAGAAACATACATAACTACCAAAGGAAATAAAAGTGGCTCCAGAAGAAGAGYAGACAGCAACAGCATTTCAGTTCTTGCCAGCTCAGTTACTGATCAATCTGACTTCCAACCATCAAGGTCTAAGTTCACTGCTCTTTCTTGAGTGCTTGCAGTTCTGAATTTTCGGCAATCTACTTTGAGGTCTTTGCCTCAGAGCTTCTTGGGTAGAGCCTCACGTAAGGGCTATCAAAGGTGGGTGAAGATCAGCACCTCCTTGTACTCCTAGGACAAGCAGTGATAAAAAAGCATTGCTCAGAAGATTTCTGAGGTCTGTATGGCTGAGAGCACAGCACCTAACTCCAGTGGTTGATGTGTATGAAGGTGAGCCACAACCTTTAAGGACCAACACCAATATCTGAGAAACAGTGAGGTTTCTCACTTGGGTGAAAGGGAGATGGTGATGAGAACTGGTGATGTCTTGACWGTTTTTACACTCCTGTAACCTATGTCTGCCACATGCGAGGCAACTGGAGCCCACAATACTGAGCAGAGACCAAGGATGCTGTTCTGACATGTCTACTGCAGTAAAAGCAGTAGGTTTGGCAGAGCCCACCGCTGTCTCGGAAGAAGAGAAAAGGAAAAGCAGAGGAATTATGAAGTTTACTCCCACATTTTGGAGCTAGAGGGCCAAACATCTGCTGCCAAACTTCTCTCAGATCGCCAGAAAGCGTTCATAAAGCATCAGTGCTCGACTCGATTCTGGGAACCGGCTACAGGCTGCTTCCCATGGTCTTGTTGCTCACAGCCAGGTTGCTAGAAACAGCTGGCTTGCCCAGGGCTTGGAGAGCACGTCTGCAGCAGGTGCTGCAGGAGTGCTGAGCTCTCCTGAGCCTCCGGTCAGTGTCTGCACATGGACCTCCAGCGGCTGCCAAGGGCCCTGGAGCCATGCACAGCATGCAAGAGGGACCTGGGAAGGAGGGCTCCGCACCTCTGCACATCTGGAGGTGCTGCCACTGTGGGAGTTAATAAAAAGGACCATTCTCTTTCAAGGAACAGAAGCTTCAATCCTGCCAGATGTTRAGGTCCTCCCCAGTCCAGCCCAGCAACACAGGCCAGGCTGCAGGAGGGACAACAAGTCTATCTGGAACAGCAACTGGTAGATCAGAAAGCCAAAGCACACAGTGGTGCCGGGCAACACCACAGCCTTAAGCGCTACCCGTCCCACAGCAAGAAAGCACCACACAACCACAGAGGGATTTAAATAGCACAGATGTTAACCGAAGCCATCATATTCTGATGAGTGGTCCCTGAGCCTTGTGGCACTGGGAAAAAGAGACAAAAGTGGCTTAAGGAGAAGAGCTGAGGGGCATCAACATATATTTATTATCTCTAAAGACACTTTTTTCTTTGTTTGTTTTTAACCAGAGAGGTTAACCGGGAACCAGAGAGCACCAGTATGACACCCTTTATCTACCAGACTTCCTGCACCAGCACCCACCATCCTGACTCAACATTTTTTTCCACCTCAGTAAGCTGAGAAGTCCATGTTCTCCAATGAGATGAGCTATATAATAAGACTAATATTTGTATCTAACTCCAAAACTGTCCAGTAAGAATAAGCTGCTATCATATGTCCTCTAAACTTCTGCCTTGAAGGCTCACAAAAGCTTCTGCTGGCCTAGGGATGCTGAAGATACTTTTAACCTTTTTTAAGCATGCTGAGCAAGAGATCAGAGGGCTACAGYGAGAAGCATGAACAGTCTGGAAGACTATTATTAAAGATCACAAAAGCATATTTATAAATCCTTTGCCAAATGTGTGTTGATTTCATCATGGCATCYATGCTGATTCCTTAAACTCCTGGTATATCCTTCTGATCTCCCATAAATCTCAGTGGGATTAAACAGCCTTGGGAATGGCTTTAGCCTGACTTKCAGGCGTCTTGAGCTGCCAGTGCTCTCAGAAAGCTGATGATCGCCTTGGGGGTGAATGGACAGAGGAGCTCTTTGAAATTAGACCTTTCTGGTATGGACCAAGGAGAGCAGTGCTGGATGGTGGGGGAGGGCAAGGGGTGGGATTCTTGGTGGTTTAAAGAAAGGGGATCCAACAGATAAGCGAAAAATGCTCATGCTCCCCTGCACTTGCGCTTCGCATCACAGAGGACAAAGGGACAGCTCTGGAAGATGCTCTGGGATAAAGCGTTGAATCCCGAGTGTGCTACTGAACAATTCGTTTTGATGAAGAGTAAATCAGACAGTGAGGGAGGGTGATGGTGCTGTGCTTACCGCACACCCTGTGCACTGCTGAGGAGCAGATCTCTAGGAATATTTTGGAAAGCAAATAGGAAACAGCCAACACAGAAGGAGAAGGAATTTTGGAGGAGAAATCTTTTTCCCCGCCTTTTCTCCAACCAATCCCTTTTGAATATTCCAGAAACAGCCTCCAATGACAATCCTACACATCAGAGTACATTTCCACAACTTCTGCAACAAGAACAACCTCTAAAAAATAACCACAGTGTTGGGTTCTTTTTTTTTTTTTTTTTAGAACAAAAAGGCTTCAAGAGCATCTTGCCATTTCACTGCCCTGAAACACAAGCAGGAGCAATACAATACAAACCCACAAGCGAACACGCAGAGCAGCACAGAGCATCAGTGCTTTATGGCCAGCTCCCGAGCTGAACCTCTTAACTGCGGGGTTTACAAGAGGCTGCCATTATTCAAATAATCCTGACGCCAAATTTCCTGCCAAATTTCCTTCTTGACTTGAAGGTGCCCTTCTCTAGTGATGCTCTGGAAATGCTGGAGGTAACAGTACGAATGGCCTGAGAGCGCATGCCAGGTCTGCATTTTAATAACGGTCTTGGGGGTTGACAGYCCTTTACAGTGCTCCCTTCTCTCTCGCTTGCAGACTGTTACAGACAGCCCCAAGCCAGGGCCAAGGGCACGCGCTCGGTAACCAAGCGCTTGTGTTACTGGGGTGATTTGCAGAGCTTTTGTTCAAGCACATGGATCGGACTCTTCCTTTTCTTTCGCCCTCACGGCTCACCGCGCTTTACAGAATGCTTACAACGGGTGGAAAAAAACAGACATCAAYGTCAAAGTACCAGCTCGGTGAAGAATATGTGCTCCAACATCAGCCAGCTGCAAGGCAGCACTAAATCAGTCGGGTTTCCGAAGCAGCTGAGCCGTGCAAGGCCAGGGCCAAGGGAGCCAGAGGTCACCTCTGCAGCCCCATCTCAACCACCAGGTACCGGCTCTGTCCCTGGGGCTCGCTCAAGCTGTCTTCATTCCTCCCGACCCAATCCAGTGATTTGCATATGCCCTGAAGTCRAAGTGATTGACAGCCCTTCCACTGTCATCCTCGCTTGTGTAATTGCCGCAGCTATTCTTGTACACCGAAATGTCTAATCTTAGCAAGCCACAGAGCTGCTCGATAATATGGAGCAACTGGGAATTTCCATGCAATTACTCACCACGGCTACGGGCACTTACTTGGGTTGGTAAAAGTCCTTCTTGTCGGCTGACCCCAGGCTCTGCAAGACAAAAGACAAAATGGAGGTTTAACCCTTTGCCAAGGACCTGGGACAAGTAGCACGAGAGAGGCAGACATCTGGGCAGTGGGTACGGGCCCCCTCCATGCTGCTCGTCACAGGTAAGCAGCAGAGAACCTCTCATGATCAAATGTCCCACAGGCAGGCCCTGTGGTGGCCCGGGACATAAAACACCCCAGATCTCAGCACCGTGGCAGGACACAAGTGCTGCTGCCAGCAGTGCCAGCTCAGGGGATTACAGAGAGTGCATGGGGGACAACAGCAGCTCTCGCGTCAATGGCTGAAGACAACATTTCCAGGCCCTGAGGTGGCATCACAGCCTCTCAGGCCAGCAAGAAAGAACACAGAGGAACAAGCTGAACCTAATCTGGTCAGGTATGTTTATGTCTATCTTCAGTTGCAGACAGGTGGCACCTTGCAGTCAGGAGGACACTCTYGTCCCCTCAAGTCTGCCTGGACAGGAGGCTGATGAGGGCTGGCAGAGATGGAGTCGACAGAAAGCCCTTGGCAAATGGCTGACCCTGAGTCCCCCAGCCTCTCCCTGGGGACACGATCACAAAGGCCTTCTGCCCAGCAAAACTCAAACAAGCACCAAGCGCGCGCCTGCAAGCCTCAGACAAGCTGCATGTTCCCGCACGGCAATGTCTTCCCAAGGGCCCTTGGCTTCTCCAGCGACACGGTCAAGTTGAAGAGGACTCTCCRCAGGGGGACAGCTCCTCGCCAGCCGCACGGGACCCATCCTGCCCCGTGGCCACACACGTTCTGCACCTCCCTTGTGGCTGTGGCACCCAGCGCCCCTGCAGGGGTCATCCAGCACCCCTGCCATGGAGGGTGCCCCGCGGCTCCACTCCAAGGCCCATCCTGGTGGAACATGGGGCAGGACCTGAGACAAGCGCTTCAGGAGACACCTCAGGCCCCGCTAAGGACCAGATACCCCCCGGCCATGATGTGCCCCCAGCTCCTTCGCTTCCATCCCGAGGCAGACAGACACACAGACACACAGACCCACCCGAGCCGTGGATCCTCTCCCGGGCCCGGCGCGCGTGGCAGCCCCGCGGCGGCGCCGGGCGGCCGAGCGGGCGGCCCTGCCCTGTGCACGGGCCGGGCCGGGCGGCCGCGCGCCGGGAGCTGCTGCTGTTGTGCTCCTGCTCGGCGTTGCCAGGCAATCGCTGAAGCTCACGCCAAAACAGCGCGGAGGAACGGGGGCGAATACTAATCAGGGGTGCGGGAGCTCCCCGCGCACTCCGCGGCAGCGGGCACCTCCATGGCATTCACCATCCCTCCTTCCCCTAAGGGCTCCGAAGGACCTGCCTTCCACACAGTGACTCCCCGAGCCCACCGAAGTCCACAGCAGAAGACCCCAGGAGCACCTAGGAAGCTCGTTGCCAGCTCAAGGTTGGATCCAGTCCTCCGAGAGCGCTAATGAACAACACAAGAAAACAAAGTTTCTGCTCCTTCACCTTCCAAAAGGCCAACGGGACAGCCACTGCAGGGGACAAGCACTGTCACCAATAACAGGAGAGCAGAAGATGATTCCTTCACCCAGTCACTGGTATCTCAAACATTAACCACGTGTCACATCTATCCAGGAGCGAGACGGAGGTCTCTGCAACCATGCTCTCTCTGAGAGAAAATCACTTGGAAAATTTGGGAAAAAAGAAAGAAAAGCACAATCTTCTTGCAAGTTTAGCAATTGCTGGAAGAGAACCATGGCTTCCAACCCTTTTGTTGACTCCATTGCCAACAAGCCCATGCAGTCTGCAAGTCCCTGATGGGACAATTGCATGAGCAGAGTAAAGGAATGGGTCAATGCAAGCTTATGAAGCAACTGGTTTTGAAAAGTCATGGAGAACTGAGACTAGTAGATATCCAGAATAAAGCAACGAAGCATAATGTTGCAGAGAGGAAAAACAAAAGAGCAAAGTGGGGAGCAACTGGAATAATGACTAATCAAAATATCTGATTTTAAACCATATCAAGAAAACAGAAAACAAGGGGAAAAAAAAAGAAAAAAGAATTCCAGCAACACGGTCCAAGTAATCAGGCCCGGAGCAGCACCAGGAGCTTTGGATCTGCTCCTTGCTCTGCCCCTACACTGCTGTTTGATCTCGAGCCCTTTAATCCCTCTTGCTACCCCTGTTTGCCCATCATTCCCCTACAAARCCCTCCTGTTTTCCCAGAAGAGAAGGGGGGGTTGCATTGCAATCAGATGCAACTCCAGAGATCATCAGAGATCATTCCCACCACACTTCATTTCCTTCCGCTGAGCACGCACAGCAACACRGTAGTGGATCCATGGGGCTCCTGGAGAGAAGCTGGAAAGCACTTGACTTCATGAATCACCACTGAACAGCCAAAAACCTGCTGCTAGCTCACAAAGGGAGGAAAAAGTGGTCAGGGCCAGTGGGAAAAACCAGGATAAGGATACGCTTTCACCTGCCTCCAAGCAAGATGGTGAATAATAATCAGAAGGAGATGTCAAGACATGCACATACGGTATCATAACAGGCAGCCATAGAGAGAGACACGGAAAAAGACCCTGCAGGGTTTGCTGAAAGAGGTAGATGATAAGCTATGTGATAGTCCACCATGAAAAATGGAAGACTCTCTGGTGGAAGGGAACCAGCAAACAGATCAGTGGGAGGAAAGCAGCAAAAAAAGCCCAGAAGCCTGGAGGGTTCTTTGGATCTGGACTTAAGATTGTGAAGGAATTTATCAATGGTGTAGCCAAAAACAAGAATGGCAAAGCAATTTTGCCCAAAGYCAGGATCTGATAATACTCTACCACAGTCTTAACGTGGCGGTGTGGGAATGCTTGGAGCTCAGGGTGGCACCTGGAGAGGTGTCCCCAGCTGAAGAAGTTGGCCTTTGGTGAAAGCTTGAAGGTAGTATTACAAAGTACTCAAAGGGAGTTCGGACTGGTTTTTCTTTCCCAAGTTATTGGATGCTACAAATTCATCTGTGCCTGAGAACTGAAGGGGACAGAGAGCTCCTCAAACTGAGCAAAAGAAGACCTGACGCTTTCTTCTCCCTTCTCCCTTTCTCCTGATCTGATCAGGGATGTGAAGGTTTTTATATATGCATCTATCTAGACATATGCACACACACACACACACACACAGATATCTAAATCAAATACCTGCATGCAAGCATGCAGCTTTATTGGTTGACCTGTTGACTTTTGAGAGGGTGGTCTGCTGGCTGCTCCTGTGCATCCATCGGTGTGTAGCTGAGGTCTCTGCAAAGGCAAAGCTGCAGTACACAGTCTCTCTGCTCTCAAATTAAATCTGCAGGAGCCTTGTGAGACCTGCTGCTCCTGCTCAGGGTGCCGGGGAGCTTGTGGCCTTGCCAGGAGGCCCCGCGGGAAGTGTCAGCATCACCACGTTCAGAGAGTCCCCTGCAAGCCCTAAGCCTCCCTCACCACGCAGCATGAGTCACCYTCCAGCGGGGCCTGCCGCATTTCTCCTCGCTTGCTCATTTCATTGATGACTCAAGGTTTAGGAAGCCCATTTTAAATCCCTTAATGAAATAATGGAGAGAGTCATTTTTATCGGCAAGTATTTTTAAAACAAATATTTCAGAGGAGGCTTGCACCCATCCCCGCCATTCACTGCAGAGAACAGGAGGAGCAGGAGGACCCCAGCGCAGCCTCCTTCAGCACAGGGGCACAAACAGAAGCAGGAGCTGCTCCGGCCAACCCAGCTCAAAATACCAAGCAGGGCAGCTACCACAAGCTGTCAGACCCCCTCCGAGAWGTTAACATTCCTCCTCCCATCAGGGCCATAGGAAGCGGGTGGGAAATGAGAGCACTGTTCCAGGTGACATCCYGCTGAAGATGACAGTGCGCAGAATCCCTCACTCACCAGTGCTTGTGCGCCTTTGGAGGGCCTGTCTTTCTGAACGTGGCTATTCGCCGGCCTCTAACATCTTTCCTCTGCAGATCACCTTGATAAAGCAACTACTCAAGGCGAAGGAAGCAGCAGACTAGGACACTAAAGCAAAGTCCACAACTCCCGGGCCAGTCTGGCAAGAAGGATGGATTCTTGCCAGAATGTYGTCTCAYGCACGGCTGAAGTCCCTCACCACATGTCACCTCATCCCCTCCCCATATAACAACTGGATCAGGCTTGCATTGCACTACTGCTGAATGAAAGACCTCTTGGTTTCATGCGCAAGAGCTCCTCTGCTCATGCTGCAAAAAGGTGCAACAACACAGCAAAACCCTTGGAAATGCCAAGAGCTTGGGAAGAACGCAATGAGAGAGCACCTCTCATGATGGTTTTTTAACCCAGACAAGGTGAACTGAAAGTGAAAGGTCAGCATGGTTTTACTACCCATTGAGGAACCACCATAAGGGCACAGGCCCAGCTTCTCAAAAACCACCCTTCTGCAGGTTGTTTTTAGTCTGTCTGTAAAAGCAGCCTCCCAGTTGAGCTACTCAAGCAACACACAGTTGCATTCACACCTTCACCGAGCCTTGCACAACAACATGAAAAGCAAAGTAACAGAGACGAAGCAAAGCCAAGGCAACAGGCTCCTCTCACTTCCCTGATGATGCTCTCAGCGCTGCCCTTTCCACCCTCTTCACTGTAACACACAAGAGAGAATAATCATCCTGAAAAAGCACACAACATCCAAAAAAAAAAAAAAAAAAAGAAAAAATGCACACAACAACTTGGAGTCATTTTGGGGCTGCAATACCATTGCAGCTTTTATACTGGATTTTGTACAAGATGTCAAAGACCGACATTTGAGGGACTGCCTAACTTTGACTTGAAACATAACCCAGGACTTTCACACATCTTTTGCAAACTTACCAGAATTTGGACTGATGTGATCACTTGAAATTATTGGCTTAATTTCACATTTGAAGTATTAAGCAAATTATTTTGTAAATTACTTRAGCTCTGCATTGCAGAAACCCAGGTTATACCGCATATATAAGCTCCTAAGCACCTGCAAAGCCAGCCTCACTCACCTCC